TATAACGATTCCAAATTCTCTTTCAAATAATACTATGCTACTTCATGGGTAATGTTAGTATCTTATAATAAGAAAATAATTCTAATTCTTCCCTCTCATCCCCTGTATTATTGTTGTTATTTATTTACTTATTGTTGAAATCTCACTCTGTCACCCAGACTGGAGTGCAGTGCCATGCTCACGGCTACTGCAGCCTCTACCTGCTGGGCTCAGGCAATCCTTCTGCCTCAGCCTTCCGAGTAGGTGGAACCACAGGTGTACCCTCCATACCTGGCTAATTTTTTGATTTATTGTAGAGACGAGGTCTTGCCAAGTTGCCCAGTCTGGTCTTGAATCCCTGGACTCAGGCAATTCTCTCGCCTCTGCCTTCCAAAGGGCTGGCATGAGCCACCTTGCCCGGCCATTTCATTTATAGATAAGCTTACATAAGTGTGTAAGTACATATATGTACACAAATATGTATACATACATAAGATATCTCTATGTAAGCATATATCATTGAATACATTATTTCTATTATTATTTTGGACACAATACTATCTGTTAGATCAATTTAGAATAAAAAATAAAAAGTTTAAATTGTATCTTTACATATTTCTTTTTTGATGCACTTCCTTTCGTTACATAGATACATGATTCTGGCCTTCATCATTTTTTCTTTCTCTAAGAAACTTCTTTTAACGTTTATTGCAAGGCAGATGTACCAGCAGCAAGTTCCCTTAACTTTTGTTTGTTTGAGAGAGTCATTATTTCTCCTTAACTTTTGAAGTATAATTTAGCAGAGCACAGAATTCTAGGTTGTTGGTTTTTAGTTTTATTTTTTTTCTCAAAACTAAATATTTCACTCCACTTTCTTCCTGCTTACATGGTTTCCTAGAAGAAGTTCAATGTAATTCTCATCTTGGTTTCTGTTTAGACAAGGATTCTTTCAGGATTTTTTTTTTAATCTTTGCATTTCTGTAGTTTGAAAATGATATGCGTAGGTGTAGTTTGTTGGCTTATGTTTCTTGGTGTTCTGTGAGTTACCTGGATCTGTGGTTTGGTGTTTGACGTTAATTTTAGGGAAATTCTGAGTCATTATTATTTCAAATATTTTTTTCTATTCTCATCTCTCTTTAATCTCCATCTGGTATTCTCAACATATGTATGTTACACCTTTTGTAGTTGTCTCAGAGTCCTTGGATATTCTGTTCTGTGTGTGTGTGTGTGTTTTCCCAGACTTTGTTACTTTTTGCTTTTCAGTTTTGGAGGTTTTTATTGATACATTCTCAGGCTCAAAGATTTTTTTTCCTCAGCTGTGTTTAGTCTACTAATAAGCCCACCGAAGGCATTGTTCATTTCTGTTTCAGTTTTCTGATCTCTAGCATTTTTGGTTCGTTCTTAGAATTTCCATCTCTCTGCTTACATTACCCATCTGTTCTTACATGGTGTCTACTTTATCCATTAACGCCCTTAGAATATTAATCATAGTTTCTTTAAACTCTTAATCTGATAATACCAATATCCCTGCCTGTTTGTTTCTGTCTCTTGCTTGCTCTGTGTCTTTAAATTATGTTTTTTGCCTTCTAATATTTACCTTCTGTAATTTTGTCTTGATAGCTACACATGATGGAACAGGTAAAAGAAACTGCTGTAAGTATGTCTTTAGTGATGTGGTTGTAAGGTGTTAAGGGAAAAGGGAAGTATTGTATAGTCCTGTGATTGGGTCTCAGCCTTATAGTCAGGCTGTACCTCTGGATTGGAAACTTGACAACTACTTCTCAGCCCCACCCTCGTTAGGTGGAACAGGATGGCTAAAGTGGGCTGCCGCTGGCATTTCCTTTCCTCCAGGTCAGTTAGACTCTGATAAACCTCCTGTAGGTTAAGTTCTGGTGGAATAGATTCTCCTAAGGGCAAACCTTGTTAAGAAAAATGGAATGCTCTGGTGTATTTCAAAATGGATCCTTTTCCCTCCCTCAGCTGGAAGCATGGGCAAATTTTTCTCCAGTGTTAACTGTGGGAACTGCCAGATGATTGGGTCCCTTGGAGCTTTTAATTCTCAGACTTGTCCACACTGTTCTTCCAGCAATGGATCAATTACAGTTTAGGTTTCCCTGCCTCAGCACTGGTCTCCATGGTGGTTTCTATTCCTGAGTCTCTGCTTCAGTAGAGGCTTTATGCTTCCCTGCATTTGCCTGTCTCTCTCTCCAATCTTGGGGGCAGCGATTTGCCCTATGTCCACCCCTCTCTGACAAATCTAAGAAGAGTTGTTGATTTTTCAGTCTGTTCAGCTTTTTCTTGTTGTTAGAACAGAATGGCGACTTCCAGGCTGCCTACATGAGGAACGGGAAACTAGAAGTTGCCCCACCTGTTATTGTTTTTGAATTTTGCTGTTCTTGTTAATATGCATGTGGCTAGCCTTTGTGTTGCCTGTTCACTTTGGAAACTAGTGAATGTGGTGTCAAAAAAGGCTTAAATTAAACACTTTGTAGCCTTTCCCTGCCCTTAAATTTGATATCTTTGCTGTAGGAGCTGCATAAGTAACAGCTAGTGAAAAAATATGTATGTGGCCCCTCTGATATTCAATTCTTAACCCACTGACAACTTTATTTCTCAAACTGTCCATTGAAGACGGAGGTTCAGATAGAGTTTGAGGACCATCTTTTGTTTTTTTAAGTGTTATATTTTCATGCTTTGAGTACATGTTTGCTTTTGTTACATTTTTTGGGACATGTTTTAACGATCCTGGGCTAAATTGAGATTTGAGATTTGAACAAGGTGTTGGTGGTGTTCTTTTGTCCTCCCTTTTTTGCTTTTGTCCCTCTACCCTTTCCATTCTAAACCTTCCTTTCTAGGCACTCATTTCTTGTGTATCTTTAGTAATTAGGTACCCTCACTGGAGTTTTCACTTGTCTGCTTTTCTGGATTCTTGGTTGTTCTGTGTGCCATCTCCTTAGACTAAATTTAATCTGCTAAAGTAACAAAGTCGTGTTGCTCACTGCATCATTCCTTCCAGATGGCACATTGAAGCACTCCTGTGCCTACTATTGGTGCTGCCTTTGAATTTGGTTGTAATGAAAAGAGCATGTGTTTGGTATCATAAGTTCACGTTCTAGTCTTGCCTGAGTCATTAACTTCTTTTAAAAAAAATTCTAAAATATTTTAGTGTGAATTTCCAATAAATAAATACCTGTATGCACAACCACAACGTAAATATTATAAAAAATTTATAATTTCTTAATTTCCTGTAACACAGCCTATATTCACATTTTATTTCTTGTCTCTTGCAATTGCAAAGGTTTTTAAAATTTTGTTTTGCTTTAGTAGTTGCTCAAATTAAGAGCCAAATGAAGCCAATTTGATATTTACCAACTTGGCAGCTTGTCTTGTTAGTATTTTTAAATCTATAATAGTCCCCGCCCTCTCCTTTCCCCTTTTTAATTCCCTTGACTTGTTGGAGAAACCAAGTTATTTGCCCTATAGAAAGTCTCGTGTGCTAGGTTGGGCTGATTGCTTCCTTTTAATGTCATTGACTTTGTGCCTCTATCCCCATATTTCCTATAAGCTAATAGATCAAGAGGCCTGAGTATATTCTGAGTGTATATTTTTATTTTCTTTTCTGGCAAGGACACTTTGTAGTTGGTGCTATGTTCTTCCCAGTGCACTGCATTAGGAGGGATGTAGTATCTGATTGTCACGGTTTTTGTGAGGTTAAGATTGATCAGAAGATTTAGTTGTATGTCCAATCCATCTTTTTTAAAGTTCCTAATCAACCTTTTACTAAATGGTTTTTGCAAATATTAATAATCTTCCCTAGAAGTCACAAAAAAGAAATTTTCTTTTTTTTTTTGAGTTGGAGTCTCACTCTGTCACCCAGGGTGGAGTGCAGTGGTACACTCATGGCCACTGCAGCCTCAACCTGCTGGGTTCAGGCAATCCTTTAACCTCAGCTTTCCAAGTAGTTGAAATTACAGGCGCACACCACCGTGCCCAGTTAATTTTTTGATTTATTGTAGAGACAAGGTCTCGCCAAGTTGTCCAAGCTGGTCTCGAACCCCTGAGCTCAGGCAATCCTCTCATCTCTACCTCCCAAAGTCCTGGGATTACAGGCATGAGACGCTGCTCCTGGCAAAAGGAAATTTTCTAATCCTACTGTTCTTTCTGCATTTATTAGTTGGTATGCTTTAATATGCATGAATTTTTTTCTCATTAATTATTTGGTTACCTTGGAATATAGTTTAAAAAGAGAAAAACAGGATAAATTCTTCAGTCTTTTCCTTATCAATTTTCAGAATGATGAACTGGGACCTTGGTAAACTTTACTAGAGGTTGACCAGTGACTTATTCTCTCTTCTTTGAGGAGGCGGGAAGGGAGTGTGAGGAACATTTTCTCAACTCATTATAAACCCATGGATTTTATAGATTTGATGTGTTTAAATCAGTTGCAGTCATTCTTTCTGATATTCAGTTTGTCCCATCTTTAACCAGGGGAGACTCCTTCTGATTGGCTTGTGTGTCTCTTTGGCACTATTAGTTCAAACCATTAATTTCTGGGCAACGATTTCCTTCTCTCTAAGTAATTGGAATAGATGACCTTTATGATTCCTTTTAGTTGTAAATTCCCTCCAAGAGAAAAGATGCTATATTCTCATAATCTGTGATTAAATCTCTTATGCTGAACATCTAAACTTTTTTTCTCTTTAGATTTCACAAAGTGGGTGAATTCATGCATTTGAAAACATGAGGTGTTTTTGTTTCTCTTTCTGATCTTTCAGCTCCTGGTTATGTGAAAATGACTCAGAAGAGGTCCACATTCTAAGCTCAGTATCTAGGTAGAAAGCAAAGCAAAACAAACAACACAAACATTTCTATACTTAAGGCTGTAACAAAGCTTACCAAGTCCTTGATTTTGAAGCAGTCCCTGGTTTAGAATATACCAGTAGCATAGTTGTGATATTTTTTCTTTCCTTCTGTGGGGGGTACCAGGCATGAAGAATGGCCAGCTGTATGTCATCCCGCAGGCCTGAATGGCGAGCTGAGAAGGGCCTTAGGCCTCCCGGGGAGCTGGTCAGGGGAAACCAGAAGGCTGCAGAACTGTCCAACACAGGCCAGGTGGCTGCAGAGAGTTAGCTTGAGTCCTCACAAGCCGTCCATCCAGGCGGCTCCTGAACCAGATCCAGGCAACTGGGCCAAGTCCCCGAGGCTGTCTCTGGGACCAGAAGGTATAACCAGAGGGAACCATGGATTTAAATTCCAAGGCATAAAAGAAAAGTTCAGCATATCTAAGAGGAGCAGAAAATGACTTTTTGTAAATGCTTGAAAGACACTGTCTCATAACAAACCATATACAATGAAATTTTAAAAGAGCCCGGGTTTTGTTTCCGTCTGTGCCCTGTGGAGCACATGTGACTTCAAAAGGCAACTCTGTAGGGTGCAGAGAGGAAAGAACATGCTTTTATTCTAATTTTGGCCCAAATCCATCAAGCTATTTTTGATGGCTGAGAAACAAGACTTGCATTCCTTCTAAATTCATTTGCATTTGGCAAATCCACCTTTATTTTTCTACAGTGACCATTTCTCCAACCTGTGCTTTCCTCCTACTTTGAGACTTCATTTTTGGAAGGAAAAGGCAAGAATGACCATGATTTCAAGGAATGCCTCAAACAATCCAATTCATTAAGTGTTCTCCTCCCTACTTCCCCTTTCTTTCAGAGTTTAAAACAGTTTGTTTGTAAGACTATTTAAAACATGAAGTACTCTTTTAATAGGAGTCTTATGATGTAAAAAGGAGTTTCTGTTTCTATTTCATTGTGCTGGGGTCCCTTGGTGATAAGCGAGCATAGCTTCAGCCTAATGCTTGTGCACAGTGGCTGGCTGTGTGTGTGTTGGGGGGT